TTGTATAAATTTTTAGTCTTTTCACAAATTATAGCTTTACTAACACTGTCTCCAGCAAGTTGCTTTTCATTGATCCATATTAGCAACAGTTTTTCAACTTCGTCTAAAATTTTAGATTTTGGTTTCGATATCACATTCACTCCTTTAGCCACTTCGGCAGCCTTAAATGCTTTTTTGTTTTTAATAATTGTAGAGATAGTCGATTTTGTCACATTATATTCTTTAGCGATGTTAGAAACACGAATGCCATTCTCGTATTTTGCAATAATTTTATTCTTTAATGCTACACTAAAACATTTTCTATTTCCACTGTCACTGTTTCTCTTTCTTCAGTGCCATATTGATTAAATATACAATATAAATAACAAAACTAAAAAACAAAGTTTAGCACACTCGAAAAAGCATTGCTTACTTCGCACACGTTTAAGAGCAACTGAAATATGTGAGGTTCCAGAACGGTTGTAAACTATTGGGTTGATGCAAAAGTTTGTCCCGTTTTTAGCATCAGCTGGCTAAAAATGCAACACTAAAGTGTTATTTTCTTCACATGTGTAAAATTTCGAGGTTGTTTGACAAAAGGAATCTCAGCTAGTATTTGAGAATAAAGTTGTGTTACTTAGTTGTGTTTTTAAAATTTTGTTAAGCATTACAAATGGCAGAAAATAAGGAGCATTTTCGACATATTATGCTTTTTTATTTCTGAAAAAGCAAGAATGCTTCACAGACATAAAATAGATATGTTCTGTATATCACTCTTTCTCTTTCTTCAGTGCCATATTGATTAAATATACAATATAAATAACAAAACTAAGGTGAGGGAGCCATTGATGATTCCACATGCTGTAAGTGGTTCAGAAAGTTTCGTGAAAGCAAGCTTACAAATTTGACACAAAAAGCCGTTAAGTTCGTTATCAGAGACAAAATTTTTGAAAAATAAAACTTCGTTAACCGATTTGTTCGTTAACCAAGACGTTTGTTAACTGGGGTTCCACTGTATATCTTATATAAATATTTTTAGCAATTATATTCACCAATTGAGATCATTTGCTCAGAAATTGTTAGAAGTTTTATTAGGAATATAAAATGGAATTTATATTTATAAACACAACCAATGATCATCTGAATGATTGGGCTGGTATTTGGCTAATTAAAAGATCAATATAAAACAATATAAATATAAAGGAATTTATATTTGTTTAATTATTTGCAATAATTTGATTTAGTTAGAATAAATCACGATAGAATATTTGATTCTGATTTTTGATAATATAAATTGAAAATCTGAATTCATGTTTATATTCATGTACAGTACATGTGACTATTTCTTTCCTCTATATTTAAAAAAATATAAATGAATAGCCCTATCCATTTGTTCTGTCAAATATGTATTTTATTATCAACAGTTCTCTTAAAAATTTTTTTATTTGCTATGGATAATGAATTTTTATTTTATTTTTTTGTTAAAGATATTTTTATATTTCTGTAGAGCTAATTTAATTCTTTTACTCCAACATGGTCAGTTGTACTTTACTCTTCAAAACACCAATCCAAACTTCAGTCAGTCAAGGTCACTTTATGTATTTTATTGTAAAAATTCACCAAAAATTGAATTTTTATCATAGCGATACAAAAAAAATCACATATATTTATTACTTTATGTAGTTTTTGGCACAATAGTGTGTAATCATTCAGAGTAAAAATTACTTACAAAAAAAAAGTGTTAACTTATGATCTGAACTTTTCATGATATAAATTACTTTACTTTGACAAAAAAATTAAATTTTGTCAAAGTAAAGTTCAATTTCATTATTTGTTTTGGCACCAAGCCAATATGAATGAGATATTGTTTTTTACATGATGATATAAGATTTATGCATATTTATCTACTGTATTTTTTCATGAACAATACCACTTTATATGAAACAGTCCATATATACTAGTTTTCTGTCTTTCTTCGATAAACTCTCTTAGATTTGTAGGACATTTCATTTTAGGCAGTAAGCAGAAAATACTGAAACTATAGAATAATAAAACACACTAAACAAAGAAAATTGATTAGTGAATGTATTTTATTTGAGAAAATAAGCAAATAAAATAAAACTACAACAAAAATAAGAAAAATAATAAATAAGTAAACATATATAACTATTTACAGGTAGTGAGCAGCAATAAAATATCACAAAGTAAAATGACAAACTATCATCATTCCGTATGTTTCAGCTGAAGCCAAACTGATGATACATTGTCAAGTCAGTGTAGAAGGGTTAAAACTAGAATTAACTGTATTCAAACATATTATATTATTGGACAATTTACAACATATATTGTAATGAACTTTCAAATTCAAGTTAATTTTATGCATTTATATGACAAAGTTAGAATAATAATTGTATTATAGTAAAATATATTACAGTAAAATATCAGTATAAGAAATCATATATTGATTAGTTCAGCATACAATTTTTTTTAATCTAAATTATATGAAAAAAAAAAAAAACAATTTTTTCTTTGAACTTAGAAATTTATCAATATTGTTTCTAGCAGAAAAAAATACACAGTAGATTTAATGACTTAGAAATTGATTATTTGATTTATTTTTATTTTTTTCTTAATTAAAATAATGTGTTTCAATGTAGAAACTGCTTGGTTATTTTTTTTAATAAAATCTTAACGACTTTTGAAATTCAAAAATATCAAATAACTATTTTTATTATATGATTGATTAACACTTTTAGGAATTTATCTGTTACAAATAATATACTCTCCTCATTTATCATTTCTGCTGATAAATGAGACTTAATTTTAATCGTAAAAATAAATGTTATAAATTTGCTTAGACTACAAAATGTTAACATTATCCAATTTTTTTTTTTCATAGAAAATTGAAATAAGACTGTCCTCTTCATTTTTAATGGCTTGCAATGTTAAAAATGTATGATTACAATGATTTAGAGCTTATTATTTTAAATATTTTCTGTAGTTTCAATTTTTCTATTTTTGTCTTTTACTAGATTACTTTATCTGTAATTTTTTCAATCCATGTAATGATATCTTATGCATCACAAGTTAGTTTAAAAAAAAAAAAAATAGATAACTCAATTTAGAAAAAAAAATTAATATATGTCATGTTTATTCTAATAAACAGCCCAACGGCAAGATGGAAGAGTTATAGGACAGCAGCCTCTAATAATAAGCACATTGTTTATTGGAGAAAGATTGTGCCATTTTTCATTTAAAATAATCATTGTCTATTCAGTGTTGTCACTCTTATCATAAATTGAAATAAAGGTTGAGTATGTTGAGTGTTGCATTGTTGTTTAAATAATAATAAAGTAAACAAAAGTTAAATAAATATATATATATTTATTTATTTAATATTGTTGATTTATTTTTTGTATCCTGTTGGTTTAACTTAATTTATTTGCTGATCAGCTATTTAATGTAACTTACTGAATGTTTAATAAGCTCTCTTTTATAGTCTCTCAAAGTAAATATATTTTATAATACATCTTACTTTTGTTATTTATATCATTTAGCAAAATTTCCTGTAATTTTATTATATAGATTATTCAAAGATAATGTATTATAATGTTTTAGGAAATTTAAAAGATCTTTTAAAAAAATAGAAAAGTAGTACAGTAAGACCCCGCTTAACGCTGCCTCAATTAACACTGATTCAAAGCCTTAAAAAAGCTCAAAATTTACGCTGATTCAAATTATCACGCATTTCATTGATTTGTATATAATGCAATTATTCACGAACATGAACCAATTAGCAAAAAGTGGCAATTTGTTGTAGCACTGTACATCCCTTAAATCTATGTTTGTTTTGTGCAATTTTGGAAAAAAATATAACATTATGAATGCCTTAGGAAATATCGACTTCACTTGGCAAGAATTAACTGATAAATGCATGAACGAAATATGGAAGAAGTTATGGCTGAAAGTATCCACAAATTCTCAACAAGATCACTGTATTGTTAGGTTGACCAAATTCTCAACTTAATTGATACAGCAGGACCAGGAGATGTAGATGAGCAAGATATTGAGGAGTTACTGCAGGTTACTGGTGAGAACCTTACCAATGATGACCTTCAAGAACTGGCAGAACAAGGAATTCGTGTAGAACTGGAAAATAGAGATTCTGAAAATGAAGAATCCAAAGAATTTCTGTACAGATTTTCTTAGTAAAAGTTTGATAATAACCAAAATCGTTGATCAAATTGTAGCAAATGATCCAGATTTTGAAAGAAAGGAGTGCAAAAGCAAAACGAGGCGTATTGGATGTGATCTTCTGTTACCAACATTTGCTTAAGGAAAGAAAAAAGCAACAAATGAAACTAAACAAATTTGTCACCAAAAAAAAGAATTTCAGAAAAGTCAGGACCTTCATCACAAAAAGTGAACTTTATATTTCTGTGTGCATATGTTTGTGTTATTTAACATATATTATTATGCAGATTAATATAAAAATAACTTAAAATTAAAGTAAAATCTGTTTATTTTTGTTCGCATGTTCCTCTTTCCCTATTTACTCTATGTTAAAATGATCTCATTTAACGCTGTTTCGTTTAGCACTTTGTCATCTAGGAATGCATCCTCCTCATTAAGCAGGGTCTTACTGTATTTTAATTTTTATGTATTTACATTAATTTGAAAGATAATTCTGACTGAATGTTTTTTCTTTGATGAAAAATATTTTAAAATAATTATTAGTGATACAAGTTTCATTTGTAATTTTTATTTCAATAATTTGGCAAATTTATTATTTTTTGTAAATATTTTGTTAAAATTTGTAAGTAATAACAATTATTAAAAAATTGTTTCTAGTCATTGTATTTCATATATACTTAAATTATCTATCTTAATATTTTCTATATTTATTTGTAATTGTTTTTATTAATATATTTCAGTTTAATTTTACATTGATAAATTATCAGATTACTTGATTTTACTGTTTGCATTTTATTGTTTTAATAATAATTTATCATTTTCACTAGATTTGTTCTGCAAGAGTTAGTGGAAACAGAAAAGGATTATGTTAGAGATCTAGGAAATGTTGTTGAGGTAACTTGTATTTTATTAATATTGAATTAAAATTAGCAAGACTTCTTAAGTTTGATTTTAAATTAAAATTTACATATATAGATGTGTATTAAAACAATAAATTGTGTTGTAACTTTTGAAAATGAAAAAATTGTTTTCCATTAAAGATTAATATTTGACTAGAATATGTATTATTTATTTGTTGAAACCGTGTCTTCTTCTTCTTGTTTCTTCTGGTTCAATGTCACGACTTGGTGAATTTATCGACACTTGGAAAATAATTTCATCATCCACTTTTAATTCATACAGATGCATGTTTTGGACTTTCTCCCTCTTCAGTCTGTAACAGACTGAAGAGGGAGAAAGTCCAATTATTTTCCAATTATTATGAAATTATTTTCCAAGTGTCGATAAATTCACCAAGTCGTGACATTGAACCAGAAAAAACTAGAATATGTATGTCAAAAATATATTCTCATAAATTATACTATGAACCAGAATTATTTTTGAAGGTCATTATTTGATATAATTAGTTGAATGCTTATGTGAGATTAGCAGTGGGTCACTGGTTAATCCCCAAATGACCCACTGCTAATCTCACATTGGTGTCAGGAGTGAGGTGAAGCCAACTTCCAGGCTTTTGACAGGTTTGTCCGTTTTAGGCAGTGTTTGCGGAACGCAAGTTTTGTCCGCAAGAAGTTTTGCAAAAATTTTGTGAGGCGTAGATAGCCCAAATGGTAAAATAAGTCATTTTTGTTCATGGAAGAGGAAAAAAAGAACAGGCAGTCGAAGAAAGACAACAGGTGACTGGACGGAAGAAGATGTGAATATCCTCCACTTCATGTGCTCCACGCATCCCATGGAACAGTCACAGGTGATCTGAATTGTCCGAAATGATGTCAAACCAGAAATCAAAAGAATCAACGTAGAAACGGGAAACCGAACCTGATTCAGAACAAACTTCTACATCAGAGTCTCAAGAAGACCCAGAAATTGAGACACAGAAGGAAACAAATCAAAGTGAAGCCGAAAATCAGCACTCAATGCTTCAAACCATCTTGAACATCCTTGCAAGCTGGATTTGGGCCGTGTTGATCATCATTTCCTTGATAGGAGGACAGAGCATGTCCATAAAAGATACATCGATGCGACCAGTAACGATTACTGACATCACGTTTACTGACCTCCAGTCAAGACTAAGTCGCATACCTGTACCTTTAAATAGGCTTAGGAAAAAATCTAGCTATGAAAAAAAAAACCCAATTTTAGAGAGAGAGAGAGCATTCGGTTCCATAGATTTTTGCATCATTCAATCCTGCAACTTGGAATTTAGTGTGTAGTGAACTTTGTAACTTCGACCTGTCCGAGCGATTTGCTTGGACGAACACCCACATCTTGAAAAGATGTGTATGTAAACGTGACACTGAAATTGTTTATATATCAAGTAAAGGTGTAAAAGAATTTTGCCTATTTTTCCGATTTTAGGGAAACCCCTTTTCAAAATTTTTGTAATATCGACTTAACATAATTTAGAGAAACAAATTAGAACAAAAAATTTATCAATTAATCGTTATAAATCTCACAACGTGCGAAGGAAAAGATGAGGGATGTTCGTCGTTTCCCCCTTTTTCAATGGTGTTATATGACCGATGCTATGTTGTCCATGTCACATGGACACATCATTCTTCATTGACAAGAAAAGAGGAGGACCAATAGATGACCAATCATGCATTTTACAAATTACCTCACCTTCCTCTGGAACTAAAGCATGATTGGTCAAAAACAAAAGAAGATAGAAAGAAGTGATGAAATGAAGGCAGAAAAAAGATAGAATCAGAGAGTGAGAAAGATTTGAAGGAGTGAGACAGAATTGAGAAGATGAAAAAGAATGGGAATAGTGAGAGAGGATTGAGACTGACTGGACTGGCTGGACAGGAGATTGACCCGAAAAGAGACAACCGACCTAGTGAAGGACCAAAGAAAGGAACAAGAAGACAAAAAGAAAGAGGAAAAGACAACTCTTTTCCTGGTATGTTGTGAGTCGCGCAGTTCAGATATCCCCTGTTAGGTTCCCCTCGTTTTATAGATAGGAATAGGCCAATTTCCTAAATCAGATTTTATAATGTTCAGTACGTTGTTTATTTTATAATAAACTTATTTTTCATTTTCATTTGACTTTGCATTCATCTTCCTGAGAGGCTCATTCCTGGACTTCGGAGTGACTCTTACCCTCGCACCTTAACTATTTGTTTTTAGTCTAAATCGGAGGTGTGTCCGACAAACACGCCTGGTGGCAGGACCCTACCCTAAACTTGCGTAATCAAATTTTTGATAGCCCCTGATGCACACAAAAAGAACACACACTTTTTCAGTCGCTAACACAAAAATAGAATCCATAGGTGAGTGCTCTATCTTCTGCAACTACAACTATTACTTTTTATCTCAAATATTTGAGGTATTCCAAGTTTCTTTTAAAATCAGAAAAATGCTAATTTTTGCAAAAACTATAGGTTTTTGGATGCACTATACATAACTTACATAAATTATTTTTTAATACCTACTGATTTTCTGGGTCAAATAGTCATCCTCATGACCTAAAATTGCAATTTTCTCAAACAAAACACAAAAGTGGAAGCCAGGGCTTTATAAGGGATACTTTTTTGTGCTCCAGAATAACCATGCAAAAGCTCATCAAAATCTGTCAAATACATTTGAGTCTCTCCTTGTAAGCCAAATCTAATAGGTTTGTTTTGGACTTTGGGATAGGATAGAAACTATTTTTGAAACACTAGAATTTACAAAAATTTTTTATTAATCAATAAAATAATGCAAATGTGCATTATAAGAGCAGGAGATCATTTTGAATACTGCTTAAAATGTTTTTTAAGAACTGTTTTGATCATCATAACGTTATATAGTATGATTTTATTTTAATCTTTGTATATTATCCTGTATATAACTTACACTACATCATTGGACTATACTGTAGGTTTTATAGTATAAATTGCAATGTTTAGGGATATTAATTCAGTAATGATATGTTTGTTTATTTTGAATGAAAATAATATATTTTGTATTTTTTAAAAATAATTGTGATTCAGTTGAATAATTGCATTTTTAGGGCTATATGGAATATATGAAGTCTTCAGATTCTGCCGTTCCTGAAGATTTAAAGAATGGTAAAGATAAAATTATCTTTGGGAACATAGAAGCTATATATGAATGGCATCGAGAGTAAGTCTATTTTCATTAATAATGAGAATAAATAAATTTCTAATATGTATTAGACTTTAATCTTAGCAGTGAAATTGTTATTGAGATTTTTTTATTGATAGGTCATTTCTAAACTTGGGTTTAAAGTTCTAATCTGTAAATGGCTAGAATTTATGTACTAATATGTTTGTAGTTTATTATATTACTGTATATTTTGGATTATTAACTGGAATTACTAAATTAAAGCAGCTTAATTCAAAAAATATTTAATTTCTTCCACATAAAATGAAATTGGATTGATATTTCATTTTATAATGAATTATCTGTTAATTGCAGATGAAATCATTATTATATTTTTTTTAAAGTACTAGTATATTTACATATGTATTTACTATTTGATATTTTTATATTAAATATTAAAACTTTAAACATTAATTTTAAGTGACTATTTGAGTTATGTTAGTTAGTATTTGCTAGCATTGCTAAGAATTACACACAATTTTTAACAAAAACTTATTACAGTATTAATGATACTGTAATAAGTTTTTGTACTTTTCATTGTAATAATAAACATACCCAACTTTCTAGAAAAATATGCAGAAATTTTAACAAAATTTTATTTCTTTTACACTTTTTTTACATAATTTTTTTGGAAATATTTCTAGCATAATAATGTAAATGTAGTGAAGCTTATGAATGGTTTATTCTGCATTATAACTTAATATTTAAATTATAAATATTAAGTTATAACTTACACAGGAAGATTGATCAAATGAATTATTACAAAATTTACATTATAACTTGTCTGTAATCTTTTATACCTTTTATCCATTACTTGGAAAGGAAAAAATAACAGTTTTTAACAGAACAACCTAACTAAATATTAGGTTAAACTGTCAGGAAAACACTTAATAACTAAAAAACACCATTTATCAAAACCCATTATTAAATAACTGTTAATAATAATACCTAAATTAGACAGTGGGTTTTTTTCTCAATTTGTGCATTCTTGTATTCCTTTCTAAGAAACTTTTCAGTTATCATTGATCATTCTAGTTGAAATAGTCATATCATAATTAGATGTTAGCTAAATGATGACATTTTGAATTATAAAAACAAATCTTCACAGATTCAAATGTAATCTTTCTGATAACAGTTACAGGACAATGTTTGTTTGTTATATAACTTTGAACTTTGGAGAACTTTGAAGTTTATTGGTAACACTGTAAAAGGGTTATTTAAATTTCAATAAACACTCAGATTCTTTGAATACTTTGACGCAAACACCTTAAGTTTCCGAGAAGTAATATTTATTATCCTACAAACGTTTTCTACTTGCTCCACAGGTCATTCTCAGGTATTTTTAAATTATTGGAATGTTTTTTTGCATCGGTTCCAAGTTCAAACGTTTATGTGAAACAAAATTCAAATTTCTATATCCATTTGAACAATTCGTGTAAATACAAAAATATAAATGATAAATAGAACTAAATAAAACTAATTAAATACATGGATTCAATTAAAGTAAATAACATAAAATGCACTAAAAAATATACATTCATACATTAAACATACTTATATGGACTGAGCACATGCTGTATAACCAATTATACTGGGTTATTTTCAATCATATATTTCTATGCTGTTGTTAAATTTGTGGCATCTTTATAGTTCAAACACTTGCCTGTAGCACCTGATATGTCTATTTCAAATTTTTCCATAGCTATTGCTAAAGACAGTGAGCGTACCTGTCTAATAATCCTATTTAAATTTTTAACTGTTGCAAAGAAAAAAAGAGAGGGAGAGAGAGATGATGGAAATCATTACTTTCATATACTATGAAAATAACCATAATAACCTATTATGAAAAGTACTTAATTTAAACAAATTATCATAGAAAGAATTATTATTAATAGACTATTAAATGGGCTTATCTTTTTATATTTGATTTATGATTTGGAATCATTTATTGTTTTATTACAATTTTATATTAAACTGATTAATTTTTTTATTTTTAAATTTTTTATTCTATACACTTGAAATAATTCTCAGATTACATTGAATAATAATAATAATGAGTAATTGTCAAGATACAATTGATTTCTATATTTTCATGATTATTCCATTTGTAAGTAAATCAGAAACTTTAATTAAAATATTCACAGCATTGTGATCTGCTCATAAAATTTCGAAATAAGTACAAATTTTATTTTTTAGATAATGATTTTTAATGTAAGCAAGAAAAAAATTTATCAAAATATATCTATTACCATCATCAATACATGTTATAGTACTCATTTTTTAATGTTTTCACACAATATGATCTGTTTTAATTTTGTCTCAAAAAATAATCAAACTTCTTTAAGATTTTTAAGAATTTAGTAATTAAAATATCTTTACAGTTTCTTTCTGGCTGAGTTGGAAAAATGTCTTGATGAGCCAGATCATTTAGGATTATTATTTCGTCGTTACGAACGTCGATTAAATATGTATGTAGTATATTGCCAAAATAAACCAAAGTCCGAATACATTGTTTCAGAATATGTTGAAACGTTCTTTGAGGTAAGTAAATTCATTTGTAAAAATACTTTTCTTACATTATAAAACTTTTACAATGCCCACCCTCACACTGCAGCAGTGTGAGGGTGGGCATTGTCATGAAGAAGCACAATATTGCGAGAAAGCATTCCATGCCTACGATTTTGGATTGTTGACTGTAGTTTTCTTAGGGTATCACAATATCCATCTGCATTGATCGTAGTGCCTTTTGGCAAGAAATCCACCAAGAAAATGGGTTCCCTTACAATCCCATAAAAACTGTCACCATTAGTTTTCATGCTGACAGAGTTTGTTTGAATTTTCGCACTTTTTTGGGTGATGAGGAATGATGCCACTCGAGCGATTGGTGCTTGGTCTCTGGGATGAAGTGAGACACCCGTGTCTTATCGCCAGTAACAAGTTGATCAAGAAAGGCATTTCCATCTGTGTGATACCATGTTAAAAATGTCAGTGCTGCACCCATTCTCTGTGTTCTGTGCTGGTCACTCAGTTGCTGAGGAACCCATCATGCACAAATTTTGCTATAGCCAAGATGTTCAGAGACAATTTCACCAAGCAAAGAACAAGAAATGTGTAACTCATCCAAGGTTGAGTTTTGATCTGTCTTGCACGATTTTGTTCTTCACTTGATTTTTCAAATCATCTGTGATGAGTAACGGATGTCCGGGTCAAGTTTTGTCATGCACATTTGTTCATCCATTGTTAAACATTTCATACCACTTTCTCACATTTCTTTTGTTCTTTATTGTATCACCATACACTTCCTTTAGTTGACAGTAAATTTCTGCTGGTTTCAACTTCCGAGCATTCAAAAATTGAATAACACCCTTGACTTCACAGTCGGTGGGACTTTGTATCACACTGTTCATTGTTGATAATCACAGAATGCACAATAACAACTTGTTTCAACTAGCACTCACACAACACTGTGAAAAGACGTCGAGGAAACTATTCGACCTTGGATAGTAACCTGAGATCAAACTGCGCAGCCGGAATGCACAATAGGTTGTTACTTTCTGGATGACTCTCATATATTGTGCTATTTCTAATTATTACATTGGTTTTATTTTTCTTGTGGCTTGTGGAAACATTTATTTTGATAGATACTTATTTGATAATACCAACAGTTACAGAAATTATTTTGTTGTGTGTTGGTTCTATAGCATGGCATCAAAATGTTAAAAATTCTCTTAATTAGAAGTTATTTCATCCTCAGTTCATGGCATCCTTTTACAACTTAAATATTTGTGGTCTGGTTCTTTAAATTAAAACAATTTTGGTGATGAATTTCAAAGGGGGTTTTAAATTGGCTTTTTTATAAACTTTTTTTTTTTAATTTTCAGTTTTAATTTTATAAGCATTTTGAAATTTTATGTAATAGTAATTTATTCTGAAATGTAGAAATTTATCTTTTTCAGGAGTTAAGACAGAAGTTTGGTCATAAGTTACAATTGCCTGATTTGCTCATTAAGCCAGTACAACGTATTATGAAATATCAATTGCTGCTCAAGGTAATATTTATATTAATATTTGCAATATATTTTTTAATTTTTAGTCATAAACATATTTTACATCTCATAGGAAATAAATGAAGGATCCAACTAATATGGTACAATTATATAGAAGGTGTAATTCTTCTCTATTTTAAATGAAAACATGCTTGTAATTTTTCTCCATGTGACAAAAATTTTCTAAATATCAATATTTCTATTTACAAGTCAACCATCACTAATCCAGCACTAATTTCAACTAGTATAATTTTAAATTTCTTGGGTCACTTCACCAACTATCTGCTACTGTTTGATGGGTCTGAGGGTTTTTCTAGATGTATGATGATTTTTTTTATGATAATGACAGAATATACAGTAATATGACAAAGGAGTTTTCATTAAAATTTTCTTAACCAACTTTTACTGATTTACTAAGTTATTTAAATGTAGGATAAGGTAGTTAGCTGTTGGGTTAAGGTTAAATAGATCACAGTGTGGTTAGGTCTTCTAACCCAGCGGTCCCCAACCTTTTTATCGCCGCGGACCAGTCAATGTTTGATAATTTTACCACAGCCCGCTGAGGGGGGACGTTGATTGTTTATATTTTAGATTGTTTTGGTTTAATAATTTTAATTTAATTGTATTTAAACATGCCTTCAAAATAAAATACAGTTACACCAAAAAATGAATATAAAGTGATTTAACATTTTAAGTCACTAGAACGCTAAATCAATGAGAACCCTGAGCTTGTTTTTTTGCAACAAGACAGTTCCATCTGGGGGTAATAGGAGACAATGACATCCGAAGTGTGTTGCTTATGTCCAGTTTATTCCGTTGTTTTGTTTTGGTTGCTGTAACTGCAGAAAACCGTGCTTCACACAGATAGGATGTCAGAAATGGCAATAGGGATTTAAGCGCTGTGGTAGCAATCTCAGGGTATTCTGCCATGACTTTAATCCAGAACACTGGTAGAGTTCTTGTCTTGAACATAGTTTTAAGGCCACTGTCATTTGCAGTCTCCAGCAGTTGATCTACTTGCACAGACATGTTAGATTCGCCTGGTTTGTTGACAAATGGGTCGTGGATCCATTCCTTACCAGTTTGTGGGTCTTTTGGGTTGGGAAGTAGCATTCAAACTTTTTTAAAAGCAAAGACAGGTGATTGTGGAATGAATGCTCATGAGAGAATGAATGCTCATGCTCAGTCTCGCCTAAAATCCCCGCTAATGTCTGAAACATGTCCAAAATGCCTCTGTTCACACACCGTTTCCACAACTCCAGTTTGGCTTTACATGCAGCTACTTTGTCAACTTGAAAACAGTTGTCATTTTCCCATGAAGGGACAGATTAAGTTCATTGAACAGGCTGAATATGTCACACAGGTAAGCCAGTTTTGCAACCCATACCTTGTCACTGAAATGTGCTTTCAACAGTGACTTCTTTTCTGAGAGAAATCTTTGCAATGGCTCTCGTAATTCAAATACTCTAGTTAGCAATTTTCCTCTGGCTAACCATCTTATTTCTGTGTATAAGAGAAGGCATCTGTGCTCTGTGTCCATCTCCTCAGAAAGCTGCTCAAACAGGCACGAGTTAAGAGCGTGTGATTTGATGTGGTTAACCTATTCGATATTGAATTTTCATCAATGTTAAGCCTTAAAAAAATTTTTTNATAATATAAATTGAAAATCTGAATTCATGTTTATATTCATGTACAGTACATGTGACTATTTCTTTCCTCTATATTTAAAAAAATATAAATGAATAGCCCTATCCATTTGTTCTGTCAAATATGTATTTTATTATCAACAGTTCTCTTAAAAATTTTTTTATTTGCTATGGATAATGAATTTTTATTTTATTTTTTTGTTAAAGATATTTTTATATTTCTGTAGAGCTAATTTAATTCTTTTACTCCAACATGGTCAGTTGTACTTTACTCTTCAAAACACCAATCCAAACTTCAGTCAGTCAAGGTCACTTTATGTATTTTATTGTAAAAATTCACCAAAAATTGAATTTTTATCATAGCGATACAAAAAAAATCACATATATTTATTACTTTATGTAGTTTTTGGCACAATAGTGTGTAATCATTCAGAGTAAAAATTACTTACAAAAAAAAAGTGTTAACTTATGATCTGAACTTTTCATGATATAAATTACTTTACTTTGACAAAAAAATTAAATTTTGTCAAAGTAAAGTTCAATTTCATTATTTGTTTTGGCACCAAGCCAATATGAATGAGATATTGTTTTTTACATGATGATATAAGATTTATGCATATTTATCTACTGTATTTTTTCATGAACAATACCACTTTATATGAAACAGTCCATATATACTAGTTTTCTGTCTTTCTTCGATAAACTCTCTTAGATTTGTAGGACATTTCATTTTAGGCAGTAAGCAGAAAATACTGAAACTATAGAATAATAAAACACACTAAACAAAGAAAATTGATTAGTGAATGTATTTTATTTGAGAAAATAAGCAAATAAAATAAAACTACAACAAAAATAAGAAAAATAATAAATAAGTAAACATATATAACTATTTACAGGTAGTGAGCAGCAATAAAATATCACAAAGTAAAATGACAAACTATCATCATTCCGTATGTTTCAGCTGAAGCCAAACTGATGATACATTGTCAAGTCAGTGTAGAAGGGTTAAAACTAGAATTAACTGTATTCAAACATATTATATTATTGGACAATTTACAACATATATTGTAATGAACTTTCAAATTCAAGTTAATTTTATGCATTTATATGACAAAGTTAGAATAATAATTGTATTATAGTAAAATATATTACAGTAAAATATCAGTATAAGAAATCATATATTGATTAGTTCAGCATACAATTTTTTTTAATCTAAATTATATGAAAAAAAAAAAAAACAATTTTTTCTTTGAACTTAGAAATTTATCAATATTGTTTCTAGCAGAAAAAAATACACAGTAGATTTAATGACTTAGAAATTGATTATTTGATTTATTTTTATTTTTTTCTTAATTAAAATAATGTGTTTCAATGTAGAAACTGCTTGGTTATTTTTTTAAATAAAATCTTAACGACTTTTGAAATTCAAAAATATCAAATAACTATTTTTATTATATGATTGATTAACACTTTTAGGAATTTATCTGTTACAAATAATATACTCTCCTCATTTATCATTTCTGCTGATAAATGAGACTTAATTTTAATCGTAAAAATAAATGTTATAAATTTGCTTAGACTACAAAATGTTAACATTATCCAATTTTTTTTTTTCATAGAAAATTGAAATAAGACTGTCCTCTTCATTTTTAATGGCTTGCAATGTTAAAAATGTATGATTACAATGATTTAGAGCTTATTATTTTAAATATTTTCTGTAGTTTCAATTTTTCTATTTTTGTCTTTTACTAGATTACTTTATCTGTAATTTTTTCAATCCATGTAATGATATCTTATGCATCACAAGTTAGTTTAAAAAAAAAAAAAATAGATAACTCAATTTAGAAAAAAAAAATTAATATATGTCATGTTTATTCTAATAAACAGCCCAACGGCAAGATGGAAGAGTTATAGGACAGCAGCCTCTAATAATAAGCACATTGTTTATTGGAGAAAGATTGTGCCATTTTTCATTTAAAATAATCATTGTCTATTCAGTGTTGTCACTCTTATCATAAATTGAAATAAAGGTTGAGTATGTTGAGTGTTGCATTGTTGTTTAAATAATAATAAAGTAAACAAAAGTTAAATAAATATATATATATTTATTTATTTAATATTGTTGATTTATTTTTTGTATCCTGTTGGTTTAACTTAATTTATTTGCTGATCAGCTATTTAATGTAACTTACTGAATGTTTAATAAGCTCTCTTTTATAGTCTCTCAAAGTAAATATATTTTATAATACATCTTACTTTTGTTATTTATATCATTTAGCAAAATTTCCTGTAATTTTATTATATAGATTATTCAAAGATAATGTATTATAATGTTTTAGGAAATTTAAAAGATCTTTTAAAAAAATAGAAAAGTAGTACAGTAAGACCCCGCTTAACGCTGCCTCAATTAACACTGATTCAAAGCCTTAAAAAAGCTCAAAATTTACGCTGATTCAAATTATCACGCATTTCATTGATTTGTATATAATGCAATTATTCACGAACATGAACCAATTAGCAAAAAGTGGCAATTTGTTGTAGCACTGTACATCCCTTAAATCTATGTTTGTTTTGTGCAATTTTGGAAAAAAATATAACATTATGAATGCCTTAGGAAATATCGACTTCACTTGGCAAGAATTAACTGATAAATGCATGAACGAAATATGGAAGAAGTTATGGCTGAAAGTATCCACAAATTCTCAACAAGATCACTGTATTGTTAGGTTGACCAAATTCTCAACTTAATTGATACAGCAGGACCAGGAGATGTAGATGAGCAAGATATTGAGGAGTTACTGCAGGTTACTGGTGAGAACCTTACCAATGATGACCTTCAAGAACTGGCAGAACAAGGAATTCGTGTAGAACTGGAAAATAGAGATTCTGAAAATGAAGAATCCAAAGAATTTCTGTACAGATTTTCTTAGTAAAAGTTTGATAATAACCAAAATCGTTGATCAAATTGTAGCAAATGATCCAGATTTTGAAAGAAAGGAGTGCAAAAGCAAAACGAGGCGTATTGGATGTGATCTTCTGTTACCAACATTTGCTTAAGGAAAGAAAAAAGCAACAAATGAAACTAAACAAATTTGTCACCAAAAAAAAGAATTTCAGAAAAGTCAGGACCTTCATCACAAAAAGTGAACTTTATATTTCTGTGTGCATATGTTTGTGTTATTTAACATATATTATTATGCAGATTAATATAAAAATAACTTAAAATTAAAGTAAAATCTGTTTATTTTTGTTCGCATGTTCCTCTTTCCCTATTTACTCTATGTTAAAATGATCTCATTTAACGCTGTTTCGTTTAGCACTTTGTCATCTAGGAATGCATCCTCCTCATTAAGCAGG